TGTCATAATTCTGTCTGCCGAGTTTGGAGACAATCTATAGATTTCATTTTTTATGCTCCGTTTTACAGCAAAACAAACTAATTATAAATCCGTGGGACCTTGGACTGAAAACAGTGGAGCCTCTCCGCCCCGAGTGACTCGGAAGCAGTTACCGAATTATCTTATCATCATTATTATCTTTATAGTTATATTATTGCCATTTTCATTGTCACTTTTTATCTTCATTATCATTGACTTTATTATATTATCATCATCATTATTTTATCATTGTCATCGTCTCTATAGGTTAGGATTATGATTACAGTTATTAGTTTTATCATTATCGTATTTACCATTTGTATCTATCTATCTTCTTTATTTACCTTTATTTACCTTTATTTTAGCTTTTTATAGATATTATTACTCATTATTTATTAACAATTAATTACTATTATATTTTATAATAATTGTCTTAATTTATTCTGACGCTGAATTGGAAAGGCAAACCCTGAGTAAATCAGTCGGTAATCAATGTTGCCATATTATCGTACCGCATAGATAATAAATTCTACATTATATGTTTAACACCACTGACCTGTTTGGGCTCGCTGTGGGATTTCGCTGACTTGGATGATTTTGGATTATCTTCTATGGTCACGTGAACAAAGATGGTCGCGTGGGGAATGGGTTCGCCTTTCATGTTGAGGAGATGCACATGTCGATAACCTGGGWAGATTTCAATTCAAAYATTAAGAAAAWGATTTTTTWAATTTGAATTTGGAATTGATCGTGAGAATAGATTTACAAGAGAGAATAGACCTTTGTACCAAGTTGGGTATAATGTTTTCCCATTTCAGACACGTGTCATTCCCTAAAGTATCATTTCTCTGTTTAACGGTAGCGCATGAGAAAACACATGAATATAGATACAATTCGAACAAAGAATATCATTGTCAAGAGAATGGCACGTGGTCTGAAATAGGAAAACATTACACGCAATGTACACTCAGATGCCCATTGATAATAATTTTGAAGAAAGTGTGCAAGGAATACTGTTAGTTTTAGTAAATGACCTGTTTGAAGGCTTGTGAAGGGAAGTGAAAATTGACCAATGAAATCATCCTTGCCAACATCTTCGTCCAACACTGCGAACCGAATCATGACCAGCTCAGGAACGTGGAGCTCTTTCTCTACTTCTAAGTTCCAAATAGGGTTGAAACCTGGCAATACAAAATGAAATAGAAACACAGCCCTTTACAGCGAGAAAACACGTGTCAATAACTGCAGGCGATTAAACTTTTCGAAAATCCTCCGCTCCGCAATTGTAAGGTTTGTTGGTGTCGACCAACAAAAATTACCGTCCAGTCCAGTACACATCAATGAAAAGCCCTCGAGATATAAATAACAAAGAAATAGCCGCCATTTTGATTGATCTAAGAGAAGCTAATGAGGAATGCTTTGTTATTGTCAACCAACATGGCGGCTATGGAGCAAAATGAATCCAACAATTCTTCACTCGCAAACAAAATGACCCGTACGCTCATTTTCTCGTAAAAATAATTTGTAGCAAACAACTAGTCGGTCCTAATTGTTGCTGTCCAACAATAAGTAAACAACTAGTGTGACGGTGGATATGTACTTACCATTGTCCTTGACAACCTTGGATTTGAAAGTTCCTTGGTCACTTGGTAAACCATAGATTTTGACTTCCACGTATGGATCAATGACCTGYAATGAAAATTCAGTTTAGTTTGAAATGACGTTAGGACATAGGACTATGTAACAGATCTTTGCACGTGACGTAACAGACCCTTGGTCGTGACATTATGTGTAACGAAATAGATCCTTGCACGTGATATAACAGACAATACATTTTACGCACAAAATAGAAAACGATGTTTTAATCTCAGGAAATGAACACTCTTTTATTTTGACCCTTATAGATAAGGCTTTTGACGCATTCTATTATAAATGTTTTCAACTACAGTTCTGATGGGAGGAAAAGAAACTGGAGACGTCTGAAAGCTTCTTGGCGTCACGCGACTAAATGAATGACTATCCGGTTGAAGTACCGACCGACCGACTAAATTAGTGAATGAATGACCAACCAACCTGCTGAAGCACTGGCCGATCAATTATCGATTATTTGGTCAGTTGGTTTATTGATTAGTAAGTTTTTTTAATTTCCTCATCTTACCTCTCCTTTTGAACTTTCTCCTTCWGGTTTGGGTAACTGCTGACCACTAATTACTTCAATTTTCAAAAGTTTTCTGAGACCTTCTGGCGGATGTTTGGGATTAAAATCAATGGAAGCTGCAACACGACAGAAAAAAAAGCCAGTTAAGAAGAATAAAGTGTGAGAGGTGAGTGCACTACCAATAGAACGCTCTTGATTTCTTAACTTTTGACCAGCTGTCTGCATGTTGCCTGATTTTAAGCCGAGAAAAGCTGGGCACTAAACTGGCCAAAAGTTTAAAGAACAAGTGTTTTAAAATTACTGAATAAAAATAAAAATAATGATGGCTTGGTGTTTGAACTGCGCGAGTGCTGTTTGTGAGAACAACTCGCGCTTAAATAGTTTGCTTTGGTTTATTGTTATTACTACTTACGGTCTCTCATGAATTCAGGTTTCAGTACGTATCCTGCTTTCCCGTTCTGCTGGAACTTCCCTTGATTTATATGCATCATTTCGCCATCTGTTTGGTAGTTCAGGGCGACTAAAAGAACAAGTTTTGTTTTGAAATTAACCGGGAACCCTTTGGTGTGTACACGGACGTACGGCCGAAATTGATGTTAAACAATCCATGAAAAATCAATCGAAAGGCTACCAATTTTTCTTAAGTATCCCCACCAAAAAGCAAATATTGCAAATGAGCCATTGATATTTCAAAACCTAGTTTCGGAGTTAATGTTTATTTACAAGTAAAATTTAAAAGACAGTAACATTTTTCGTACCAATCTGACATCCAGCATTCCAGCCAATTTGTGGATTATAGTTGCTTGAATCGACTCGATTACCCGCGGGATACGTGCGGGACAACTGTCTCTTGTTGTATTCGACAAACGCTGCGCCATGGTTCAGGGCGAGGCTCGTCATCTTGGACTCGACAAATGAAGACATCTGAAAAAATCTGGCTGGAAAAGAAATAGTAAAATATATCAGTGGATACTGTAAGAAATGAGTGCTATATAGCATATGCATGTTGATTGACGATAACAAGGCAGTATTCATTAGATTCTCTTGTTATATCAACCAATAAGGCGACTGTTTATTATTAGTCAAGGGATTTTTAGTCGCATGCATGCACACACAGTATAGAGCGTTTTCACTCACGTGAGAAGACAACCATAAACAATAGAAACTTTCTGCTCAGTATTTGCATAAGAATAGAGTTCAATTCCCGGAGGATAGAAAATGTATTGTTAATTGGTACCCCATAATGGCCGCTGTGACGTCACGTGAAAACGCTCTATAGTCCTCTGTAGCTTTGTGGTCATTTTTTGTTTGACGGTTGTGCATGAGAAGACACACGAATATAGATACAACTCAAACAAAAAAATATTATCCTAAAGAGGATGAAACGTGGTTTGAAATGGGAAAACATTACTTCCAAGGTAAAGGGGGTCTATAGAGAAGTACCATAAGTTAAAAGATGTGTTTCCATAATTGCCATTTTTCTTATATATATTCTTATTTTTATTATTTCAAAATTTTATCCCAAGAGAATGACACGTAGTTTGAAATGGGAAAACTTTACTTCCAAGGTAAAGGGGGTCTATAGAGAAGCACTTTAAATTAAAAGATGTGTTTACAATTACCATTTTTCTTAGAAAGTTCAAAGTTTTTGAAGCCAACACTAGTAAAATAGTTGACGCATCTCGAGAGTTCCTTCGCCAGCTTCACTTTGGCTTTGGCTTTATTCTCCTGTTGGTACGAACACATATATATATATAAGCTATTTACCAAACGTAGTCACTACCAAGCGATCATTCTCTAGGCATTTTGATTACTCCAGCTTGAAGTCTTCGCTTCTGAGTGCTGAGTAAATTTATTGGAAAAAAACTTGACCTCTAGATCAAAACGAAAGCAAGTCGTTATGTGAGTCTGGTGTTAGAGGTCAATGACGCCATCACGCAAACGTCATTTTCGTGTTTTTACCGCCAACTTACGGCAGAGCGGGTATAAGACAACGCTTTTGCACTAACTCCTCGATTACCGCATCTTTGCAAAATCTGTTTACTAAATTAAAGATACGGTAACGCTGGAACAAATGTCAGTGCGTTTTGCTGCTCGACTTGTCCAGACTCCGTCTGTAATAAGTTTCGTTTTACAACATTTTGTTGTGTGCGCATTTTGTTGTGTACACCGCAATTTGAAAAGTATGGGAACTCTGCGCGACAGTTTGTTCGAGTTTGTTGCCCATCTTCGTACCATCACGTGAGAATATCCATGACAGGAGGCTAGGACAATTTAATCTGGTTTATACGAGAAAGAATTCAGAACTCAAACTCAGAAGAGAGGAGAATATATTGTTGTGCCTCCTGTCATKGCTGCTATTACGTGAAGGTGTTAACCGATCTATTGCCGCACCCTTGAGTCAAAGTGTCTTGCGCGTTTGCTCAAAGRAAACTAAAACACCAAAACCTGAGATGCAAACCTTTTCGTGCATGGAGTCGTATTCCACAAAGAAACCTTAAAACCGCTGCATGTCTTTTAAGTAAGTATATATGTGTAATGATGTCTTTTTTCCACAGTCAAACGTTCCTATAGTCTTAATACTCTTCATCAATGCTAAAACAATCAAATTCATGTACTCTATATGTTTCCTTGGGATGTCGCATGATGTTCCTTGTCCTTGTGTTTTAATGTCATCCGTTTGTTTTGATGTAAAAATTAAATCGTAAATTGTTTCTGCATTTTTTWAAATTGGTCGACTTACTTTATCAAGTGGTTTCTTTACCCGACGTACTGCCTTTCCTACCGCTCGGAAAGAATACCGAAGACTGTTGGACTGAAATTTGGAAATAATAAATCAAGATATCCTCAGCTAGATGTCGTGAATTGGTTAAAAACGAAGACAAGAGCGAAGATATTCTTAATTATAATTTGTGTCAATAAGTAAAATGATTTGAAAGATTGTCGATTTGTTAAAAAGAATGATTAGAATTCATTTTTAAATAAGCCACGAAGCGTAGATATCCTCAGTTAGGCGAAGTGAATTGGTTATTAACGTACGAAGACAAGAGCGAAGATTCTCGTAGTTATTCAATTTGTGTCAATAGGTAAAAAATTTTGAAAGATTAACGATACGTTAAAAGAATTGTTAGTGAGGAATTTATTTTTAAGAGAAGCGAAGTAAGCCATCAAAATCTAGGCATTGAAGCAAGAGATTGAGACTGTTGTTGCAGCTCAAAGTCTGTTAAAGATTTGAGAAAGATCGGTTATATTAAGGGTCATTTACTTAGAGATGCTGAGGTGTTCCTTGTGACACGAGTGAAAAACGTCTGCGCATGCTCTAAATCCGTATACAAATTACTCAAAACATATTGTAAATTTGACTTTCAAACATGCCTGATAAAATGGACTTCACATAATACCAAAACTTAGTGTCCATGCTAAAAAGCCTTAAAAGGCTAATCCTTTGAGTTAACTTTATTAATACAGTATCTTGGTCTGACAAAAGTATCTCTTGAACATTTTTGTATACTTGGAGAAAACTCTTCAAAATTCTTAAAAAACGTGCTGAAATGAACGCATGCGCCAACGTTTTTCTCTAGTGTCGTTCATTGTACAAGGTAGAAGGATTTTGGAAAGCACGGGTGGCATGGCGGTGAGCGCGCGCTTGCCTCTCACTAATGCGACCCGGGTTTGAGTCCCAACGCGTGATTAGAGTTWCTTGTTGATTATCTCCTGTGCTTTGAGGGTTTTTCTCCGGGTTCCCCGGTTTTATTCCAACCATAAAAGAACGAAGGTTAGCGAAGAAAGCTCAGAGACGTTGAAGATAATTATCATAACGTTACTATGAGAATTGTTTAAGCATTAGGATTGTTTATTCGAGGCAGAGTCGAATTAGAACCAGAAAAAAAGATGTTATTTTTGAAGCACGACAAAGAGAATAAAAGGTCATTGTTGCTCATAATATCAACTTTTCCAAGGATTGAAAATCATTCGAAATGCAAGTTGTTATTACAAAGAAAGTATGGTTATAAGAACAACGTTGTTTTAAAACGATTAGCATAGGAGAATTTAAAAGAGACATGAGCCAAAGACTGGTCTTGATTTAGAAACCATTAGCATTCGAGAATTTAGGGTGGATGACACGAAGAAAAAGAAGAGCGTTTCTATASAAACTATTTGCCAGCATGCATGTCGACAAAGGAAGTTAAAGTTTTCAGATGAAAATTGAATTAATTCAAAGGTTATTAAAGAAGTATTACAACATTTATAATTCGATATTAACACTAATAATTGCAGTGAAAAATGAAAGGGTATAGAACTATTTACTTTGGGTTTAATGCTGGCCTATTATAGATCACAGGTCATTCCCTTGAGTATTATGCCTTTATTGGACATGAGGAACACCATGAGTATGAATACAACTCAAACAAAGAATTTTATTCTCAAGGAAATGACGAGTGATCTGAAATACACCCCTTCCATGTGACGTCGGAATGTCGTCGCAATGTCGTCGGAATGCAGCTCAATTTGGATGAAACCAAAAATCAAATCAAGCTCATGAGGATCGGAAATTAACCCATTGTTATGTCCTCTAAATATTGAGCTGCATTCCGACGACGTGCTGCAAGGGGTCTATAGGAAAACATCACGCCCAAGGTAAAGATGTCTTTCTGTTTGAACTGAGAATGAAAAGGAAAATCCGCTCACTTTCATTTAACATTCCTACCCTTTTMTTCTTATCTTTCTTTTTTTGTGGTTTAGTAACAGCAGCAGCTGCAGCACTTGTTCCTTCTCCTTCGCCTCCGTCGACATTACTATCTGCTGCAGATGCTAACACGTCCGGGTCAATTTCCGCGGCCTCATCTTCGTCAGAAACGTCTCCTTCTTCTTCATCCTCTTCGTTTTCTTGTTCAGGTTTAAGTTTTTTACCCTTGAAGAAAGAAAATATTCAAGATATAAAGCTCGCATCTGATTGGTAGACCATGAGGCGAGAAAAAGGTTGAAGATAGGAACACACTGGTAGAAAAAAAAGAGGTTAGAAAAAGGCTCAAGATGAAATGTTTCAAGATAAAATATTTCAAGATAGGAAAAAACTCAGAAAAAAAAATAGAGGTGAGACGAATTGAAGAAGGAATTTTTTGGCTTATTCTTCAATTACCTTTATCAATATTTTCCTCTTCAAAGATTCTGGTGACGGTAGAGCTGATAATGAATCATCCACTGGGTCCCTGTACAACATGTCTGTACAGTGTCAAGGTATGACAGAACGATAACAATTCATTATAAAAACTAGAATATTATCATCAGCAACAACAGAAGCAACAACCGTCGAACGTCGCTCCAAACATTGTACCCTGATGATGGGCGCTTAGCCCGAAAGCTCGGTTGTTTAATTCTTAATTTTAAGGTTGTTGAAGCAGTTCATCTATAATAATGATACCGACCTACTAAACTACTGAACAGTAACAAAGCCAGCACTAAAAAGAACGACAACAGCAACAGCAGTAGCACTAACAGCAACAACAATGACAACAGCAGCAACAACAACAGCCTACAGCAGCAGCAACTGAATGCGTCAACCACGACAGTAACAGCAGCAAAAACATCAGCCGCAGAAGCAGTAGTCTCCCCCACAACCGCTTTCATTGCCGTCACGCAACGCTTTCGAAAGCGTTGCGTGACGACACTGAAAGCGACTGTGGGGGAGACTACAGAAGCAGAAGCTTCAGCAGCAACARCAATGCCAATAGCAGCAACACCCCAACAAAAATTAGCCACAAAAATTGCAACAGAAGCAATAAAAAAAGCAGCAATAGAAACAGCAGCATAACCAACGACAGCAGCAACGAAGAACACTACAATAAAACAAGAAGAGATAACTAGCTAAAAACTACTGTGAGCTGCGTCGGTGTTTCTAATGAAACAGTAATGATGAAAAAGTAAATTATACACCGTGAAAAGATGAAAAAACTTACTGACGTTTCGGATGCTCTTTTACTCCGACGAAGGACTAGCGTCCGAAACGTCAGTAAGTTTTTTCATCTTTTCACGGTGTATAATTTACCTTTTCATCATTACAATAAAACAACACGTACAAGAAGTCAGCTAGCTATTTCAGTATGAAATATAAAGGATACCGCCTAGTATATTTTCCAAGTGCGCTGCCATCGCCTTCTGATTCTTGATATTACAATGATTTTCYAGAGAAAGTATGACAGGATAGCTGTCGGCAAAATAACGTCAAGGTAAAACTCGTTAATAAATAAAAACTATTTTTCGCTATACGTATTCGCCATGTACCTTTTGATGTTGACAAATTTGACAAAAGATTCCCCGAGTTTTACATCTTATGCCAATCAACTTGGCGGTCACGTCTTTTGCACCTTTTATTGCCATAGGTCTTTGCCGAGTTCGGCACACAAAAATCGCCATTTAAGGTATCGTGTACTTGAGATGTTTGCAACCAAGCTAGACCACAGACCACAATTCCAAAAAGGCTTATGGGAAGGGATACACAACACCAATATACAAGGGGAATCAACGGTAACGTATATAGATAGTGCACTCGCCTCTCGCCTCTAGGGTCTCTGGTTCTATTCGCGTCCTCCTGGTTTCCTCCCTCACAAACCCTAACACGCTAAATTCCAAAAGGAAATATCATGGTTACACTCTAATGCCTTGACTTGAAACAACTGTTTGAAGGCAAAAGAGTGTAGCTCTGACATCTTCTATTCCAGATGCGATCAGCACAGAGGCCGTTTAACGGTATTGGTAAAATTCGAAGAGTCTTTCCAATACTCACTCTGATACTTTAAAAGCATATTCTTTCACAGCTTCAATGATATCCCTGAACTTAATCTTCGAAGTCAACGTGTGCCCATGGTAGACGATTGGCTCCCCATTTTCCCCATCCCAGCAGTCAAGCTCGACGCATCGGCACCCTTTCTTAAACGCATTGATATAAGCATCTACACTGGAAGGACCTCGAAGCTGGTCCATCATTAGGTAGGTGTTGTGAGACGAAGCGATGAAGTAATGTGACAGTGGTTGTGTCATGTCTTGGTAGACCTTGTCATGTTTTACGTTGTACAAGTTGCCTTCGCGTGACGTTAGATAATTCGTTAGGCCTGAAAGAAACAAAATAGCTAATGGTACACGCGTCTATTGGAAGACTAAAAAAGAGCGGGAAAATGGATGAGCTCGGAACGAAGACCAGTTTTTTTCGCAACTGTTGCTCATGTACCATTCGTTTTTCCAAACATATTACCCAATTTGTTCATATAAATAATTATACGTAAACACCTCCGAAAAAGCATGTCTTTTTCCAATGTCCGAAGTCATGCATCTTCTCATATCTTGTAATTTTGAAAGCAAAATGTTATATAAACTTGAGTTAGGTATGGACAAAAGTTAGGCCCATCTATGCTAAGTCTCTTCTCGTAATAGATATATTTACCATCGATGCCAAKATGGCGTGCATCCTTTCCTTCCTTGGTTGGTTCGTATTCTAAGATAATGTCTTCACAATACCGCCTGGTCAAGTCTTTCATCTGCACCAGAGAACAATGTAAGCGATGGTTTGCAATCATTTATGTCCCAAGAAAATGGAGTAAGAGAAAACATGGCGGTCACGTTGGTTCATTCCGTTAAATTCAACCAAGATGGCGGCCAATTAAGCCATTAGTAAAGGTGTTTTATTTTACTTTTCGAAACTCAAACATTTAAAAAAAAAAAATTCGATTAAGTCGAACCGACCAGACGAAGCGGCCAGTTCTCAAATGGTGCTAGTCGGTTCTTATTAGAGTTTTCTAGAACTTGGTCAACTAGTTCTAAAGAACTGACGCGCATCGTGTAAAAACTTGTTGCTCGGACATTTCGGTTCGACTTAATGGAAAACACGCGCCCTCAGGGCTCCGTATAATTTCCGTCACAGCTCACCCCTTGTTTCTCTTCAAGGAAGGTTTGGAAGTCCCTAGCGTCCATATGAGTTTGGTTCGGAGATGTTTCCATGATTTCTACGATTTCCTTTCTTGTTGCGATTGACTTGAAGAATTCAGCAAACTCTTCTTTATCGAGAGAGGCATCCTCTTTGCCTGTGTCGGCTTCCTGGAGAGAAACAAAACCGGACAAAAAATAGCTTTATATGATTGCGGCGCTTCTCGATCACACGCGCCAAATCAAACAATTTTCTGTCGCGACAAAATAGAGTTATGGTGGACGTCTAAAATCCATTTCACAGTTACCAGCGTCTCTTGAAAGGTAGACGTGTCCTTGCATCGATGTGAGACGAACGGTGAGCTTGCAATGACAGAGACCTTTTTTTAACACCTTGGACAATTCTTCACATGTCTTTATCATTGAAAGCTCACCGTTCGTCTCGCTTCGATGCAAAGGCACGGCTACCTTTCAAGATGGCGCAAGGAACTGTGAAATAAGGGACTATTTATTCTCACTCCGGCGTTTGCTGTTTTGAAGGGAAGTCGCGTGGYCACCTTCGGGTTCGGCGCCCGCTCGTTACAAGAAGCGAATTAGAACCTCTGGAGCCCAGGGTAATCATTTCCCAATCACAAACCTTAAACTTCCTCTTGACCGTCTTCGGGCTCATTGTAATATTCAATGCATTTAACAGCTTTGTTACTTCGCTCAAACTGAGGGCGCCATCTTTGTTTTTGTCGAACTTTTCGAAAGCATCGATCAGCCATTTGAACAAGAGTCAAGGAAAAGAAACAAATACGCTTAAATAAAAATATCAACTCCGATTCCTGTACTGCAACAACAGATGTGATAAGTAAGGCTATTAGGTCTCTTCCTCTATTAGGTGTTTCCCTCAGGTTCTCCGGTCCAGTTGCATGCTCCCTTTAAAACCCAACGCCATAAATGTCAATTAAATATTTAAGCCAGAGGTGCCTTGATTTAGATCAGCCCAGAGGTTGTTTCAGGGTTCGATCTGTGAGTTAGCCATGCTCTGACTTAGATCAGCCCAGAGGTTGTTTCATGGTTCAATCTGTGGGTTAGCCGTACCCTGACTTAGATCAGCCCAGAGGTTGTTTCAGGGTATCAATTAATAAAATTTAGACATCTACAGCTGTAGCTGGTACTTTAGATCAATTAACAATTATGGCTTCAATCAAAAAGGATATTGTTGTCGGAGAGCACCATCTCTTTCATTGTTATCTGCAAAAAAATTAAAATACACAAATAGAAAATAAGAATAATGATCATATCTGAAATTATGAAATATTTAAGATATAACGTACGTTCTGATTGGCTGGCTACCGTGTTTATATAAAAGGACAGAGCTGAGACATGCCCGCGCAAAATCTCTCAAAATCTCTCAAAAATATTTTATAAAAGCAATGTCATAAAACGGCAGCTATTGTCTCTGTATTGTCAACACTCAGGGAGCTGTAGAGCACTGGAAAAGCAAAAAAAAAAATTAAAAAGCTTGCTTCTCTCGTGCTTGACAGCTGCCAGCGTGTTTACATCAGTCACAGTACAGCGACGTGCGCGCGCGTTCAAAATTCCTTAAATAAACGACTCGCCTATATTTTTCTGATTGGCAGAACACTATCGAATAACTAGTATGAGTGCCGTCGGAGTATGAAGCATGGGCTTGCACCATGTGTAATAACAAGGCATAGTTCGCTTACGCTCGTACTATTAGTACTGCATAGAAGGACCATTAGATTTGTGTGTGTGTGTGGGGGAGGGGGTGTCCTAAATGAAGTATTATGCATCGTAAATGTTTCTTTTGCTTCAAAAAAGCGTAAGAGTAATTACG